TAATCTTTCCATATCAATAAAATTTCCCTTTTAAAAATCCACTTACTGGATTTTGTTTCTAAATGAAAAGTAATGCACAAATAATGAAAAACACTTGGAAAATGGTAATAAATGCCTGCCATGCTATTACCCAAAGAGAATCACTTGAGTATAGAATTCTTGGACGTAAAAAAAAAAAAATTATAGGTGTGCCTGGCTGGCTCAATTGGCAGAGCATGCGACTCTTGATCTCGGGGTCATGAGTTCAAGCCCCACGCTGGGCAAAGAGCTTACTATTTAAAAAAAAAAAAGAAAGAAAAAAAATTTTAAATGCCTACATCTACACTTAAAAGAAAGGTATTCCAAATAATTGCGTATTTTTCACTTGGCAACACATCCTCCATAATAACTCTCTCCTACAGAATCATTTCTTCAAATGTTCAAAAGGTTGAATACAGCACATGGTCCAAAGATATATAGCTGATTCTCACTATCTGAAGTAGTTATGTTTATGAGGTCACCATGAATACTAAATTATCCAATACTGAACCACTCTGCTCCTAAGGGAAATACAGAGTTAGAGTCAGGTTCCTGCAAGTTTCTGTCACATTTTCATCAATCAATACATAAACTGGTTATATGTATGTGTTTAAAGACACCTCATTTAATATATATTCCTTAATACTGAACTCTAAGGCCAAGAGCACTGTAATTCACAACTGAATGAAGCTTATCTAATACATGTATTTTCTACATAAGGCACGTAAGAGCTTTCTTGCATTTAGGGACATTACATGGCACTTCAGCATCTCACTCGGGGGCCATCTTAATCAGCCACAAAAAAGACAGAAAAGGACAAAATGCAAAAAAGATGGCATTAAACAGACCACAAAAAGGACACCTGCTTATAGTATGAGAACTGAAACAAGGCAGCAGGGTGTCACCTTGTCTGATCTCAGCCGGGGGTGTGTAAGTCAGGCGACTCAAATTTCTCAGTGCTCTGCACATGTCTGCAGATGGCCCGTGAAAGCACTGCAAGTACTGATTTGGGGGTTACGAATAAATTTTAGCGAGTAGGCAAATTTGCAAACATGGAACTCATGAATAATGAAAATCAACTGTAAACAGAAGGAGTTACAGTAAAAAAGGCTCCTTTCCATTCCTGTCCCCACTCCCTCAGCCACTGTTGTCAAGTTTCTCCTTTATGCTCCCAGAGTAAAAAAATACACATGCAAATGAAAAACAAATTCTTCTCCTTTTTTCACACAAATGAGAGCATATTACGCACCTTCTTCTGCCCCTCCCTTCTTCACTGACAATATAGCCTCATCTTTCCATACCAATAAAATTGCCCTTTAAAAAATTTTTAACAGCTACCCAGCACTTCGCTGTATGAATGTAGCAAATCTGTTTTAAATGAAGGTTATTTCACATATTTTATTATTATAAATTATGCTACAATGAGTAATTCTGTATATATCTGCTTTTGCACATAAAAGCAAAGATGAGACAAAGGTAGGAAAAGCATATAGTATTTTTGAAAAATGTAGCCAAGAAAGACTGTGCAAAAAAAGAGTTAACTGAGCAGCCCTAAGACTGCTACCTTAGATACCCAGCTTGCAAAGTTGGCCCTTGGAATGTTCCTAGTCTGTTAAACTGATTACAGTGCCTAGACTGTGCAAATAATATGTCTTGTGCTGAACACCGGCCATCCTTCTGGGAGTCTAGAGTTTTGGTATATGATAGGTAGAGGGTGCTTATGTGACCAGCCCTATTAAAACCCGTGGATGTCTGAGTCTCTACTGGGCTTCCTTAGGCCGAGACATCCCACATACAGTGCTGCATTTTCATTGCTGGGGGAAGTGTGTACTCTTTGTGAACCCTCGTGGGAGGGAGATCATAAAAGCAATCCACACATGGATTCCTCCAGACTCTAGGTCTTTTTTCCTCTTATGATCAGACAGTGTTATCTCCCCATCACTGTAATAAAATTTTTTAAATATTTATTTATTTTAGAGAGAGGGAGAGTGAGCACCAGCGGGAGAGAGACAGAGAATCTCAAGCAGACTCCCTGCTGAGCTCAAAGCCAGACATGGGGCTCGATCTTACGACCCTGAGATCACAACCTGAGCCAAAACCAAGAGTCAGATGCTCAACTGACTGTGCCACTCAGGTGCCCCTCACTGTAATAAATCTTAGCCATGAATATAGCTATATGCTGAGTCTCAGGAGATTCTAGGGAATCTCTCAATGTAGATGTTCTTAGAGACCCTGACATACCTTCTAGGGAGTTGTGCCAAATTATACTCTGCCAACAATATAACAATTTGAATTTTCAAAAGCTGCAGAGAATTCCTCTGAATTTATTCAGTGAATTCCCTGCTCTTTGGAAGATAGGCAGCACAGAATGCAGTTAAAAGGCCATTAATCTGCAGCCCACCTGGAGTAGCTCTATGAGCCCAGGCATACAAACTGCAGTCAGTCCCTTCCTTCCTTCCCCACCTCCCTCAAGCAATTGGTCCAAGGGTATTAGGTGAGGCTGAGAAAGGAGAGGTAGGCATTCCTGCTGGGAGAGGGAAGGGCACATGGCCCAGACCAGGGTGCTGGAGCCTGACTGACTGAGGAAGGCACCATGTGACAAGGTGGAACTGGCTTAGGTGTCAGAAATCATGAGGGGTTGGGAGGACATCTGTGTAGGAGCTTGGCCTGGCACAGTGTTGGAGCCTGAGCAGGGTGAGGAAAGCTTTTGTGAAGAGATCCCAATGTAGGATGAGGAGCATATATTTATGGAGGGTCAGCCTAGAATGGACAACAATGACTAAGCGGGGTAAGGAAGGCAGGGTCTTCCCAAGTGGGGGCCTGGTACAGAGGTGGAATATATTCCCGGGTGAGAAAGAGCTGGAACACATTCCAGGGTGAGAGCAGGGTGAGAAAAGTAAGCATCTCACATGGGAGGGCTGTCGCACACAGAGGAGCAGAGTCCAAAGGTGAAAAAAGGGCATTCATGGGAGAGGGGTCCAGAGTAGGATGCTGGGGTCCAAGCATGGTGAGGATGAAGTCCTCATGGTGGAGCAAGGACAGAAGCCTGGTACAGGGTTGCTGGAACCAAAACAAGATAAGAAAGACGTCCCTGTAGAAGAGCAGCCTCATGTGTGATGTTGGAGCCTGAGGGAAAGGAAGAGGCTGGGAATACAACACTGGCTTACACAACAAGAGGACTGATAGAATCAGTGATACTAAGGACAAGTTTCTCACTTTTGGAGAAGAGAGTTACAAGTAGATAAAAGGAGAAGCCTAAACCCTACAGTGCCAGTGAACTGAAAGCATCTATGTGAACTCATGATTTTCAATACATAGACATAGAGAATAAATGATGATGTAAATGTTTGTATGTAAATCCATTTATACACTCTTGTTCTGTCCACTGTAGGCCTGGAAGCAGTGAGACTCCAGGAGCTGCTGAAATCTTATTTCTATACATATCATTCTTCACTAAAAGGATCCAGGGCTCCTTAGAGAAATGACTGATTCCAGGACTGGAGGAGGAAAAATATACGATGAATCTGAAAAATCTTGTCAGGCCAGAACGCAAAAAGGTGTTCAAAGAATGATGAAAATATCAAAAGGACACAAAAATCAGCTTGAACAGCTCTTACTGGGCAAATGTGGGTCAATCTGAGGATTAAAAATGATAGTAATGGAGTACCACACTCTGAATAAAAAAGGAAACCATGAGTTCGCAAACATAAGTGGAAAAAAAAATGAAAATTTGGTGAGAAATGGGGAAATGACAGGGTATCAAAGTACCTCTCCACAAAATGCGTATTAGTTACAAAAAGAAAACCTGTATAGTGAAGTAATTTGGTACAAACCACCTCAACGAAGTGATCAAAGTTAACACCACCAGTAATGGGATAATTAAAATTGTATAACTGTGCCACCTAATGGTGTGCACTGAGAAGAATTATGATATTCCTGCCAGAGGTACATAACTTGAACTTAGTAATGAGGAAACACCAGACAAACCCAAATTGAAGGACATCCTACAAAATAACTGTCCAATAACTACCAAAAGTGTCAAGGCAAATGAAAAGTAAAGAAAGACTGAGTAACTGTTTTAGATTGAAGGAGAATGAGAGAGCAATGACAACTATATTTGACAGTCCATTCTGGACTCATTCCTTCTGCAATAAAGGACATAACTGGTAATGAATGGGATCTGAGGATTACATGAAGGTAATCTATCAGTGTTAACTTCCTAATTTTGATGGTTGTATTACAGTTATCTAGGAGAATACCTTTTTTTTTTTTTTAAGATTTTATTTATTTATTTGACAGAGACAGACACAGCGAGAGAGGAAACACAAGCAGGGGGAGTGGGAGAGGGAGAAGCAGGCTTCCCGCCACTAAGCAGGGAGCCTGATGTGGGGCTCGATCCCAGGACCCTGGGATCATGACCTGAGCCGAAGGCAGACGCTTAATGACTGAGTCACCCAGGCACCCCGAGAATGTCCTTTTTTGTAGGAAATAGTCATGAATGTATTTGGGAGTGACAGGGAATGTAGTTTACTCCCAAGTGGCTTAGAAAAATGTTTTATAATGTACCTGCATGTTTTCTCTAAGTTTGAGACTGTTTAAAATAAATATAGAAATATAAATACTCCCCAATGATACACATATCATTTTTACACTTTAGATACATTACCAAACTGGCTCCCAGAAAATGAAACCAACTCATACTCCAAAATATCAAGATATTGAGCATTACAACAAAAATTTCACTACATCATTAAAAAATGTAACCTGCACATTATATATAAGGCATCATTTCTTAAGCAGGCTCCATGCCCAGCGCAGAGCCCGACATGGGGATTGAGCTCATGACCCTGAGAACATGACCTGAGCCTAAATCAAGAGTCGGATACTTAACCGACTGAGCCACCCAGGCGCCCCTTTCTCCCTATATTTTTTATTGGCCCATCACAACACCAGACTGATTATAACACAAACTAAAAACTTACATCAATCTCCATGTGCCGAAACCTGCACACCTGTCGAAAACAGCGCCCCTCTTGCCATAATGTGCAAACAGTTTCATTTCCTAGTGCAGCTTCACAGTGACGAAAGGGACAGCTGTCACCCTGTAAATGAAAAGAATACAGAAAAGAACTGTGGTACCAAAATAGATCCTAGGTAAAGTGTGCACTGTTAACAGCTTCCTGGCATCCAGACAAACACAAAGGAATAAGGACAGACAGGCAAGGTAGAAAACTGAGGTGGAAGACAAGAACAACCTGAGGTCAACAAATTTATAATTTCCTATGACCTATTTCTTGACAGTATCCTTCATTTGATTTCACAAGATAAATGACATAAGCGGAAATGGGGCTGAAAAAAGTAAGTGGGAGTATTTAAAGTGGTACTCTTTAAAAGTGTATTTTATAGTTCTTCAAAACCATTTCATACATCTTGACTTTTGTAACTAGCTTTTGATGGAAAATCACAAATAGATTAGGATTTAGGTATAATTCCATGCTTCATTATATACCTCTACAATGGCAATATCTGAAACAAAATGCTATATATGCTCAGAGCTTTGCTCAAAACCGATCATTTTAAACATGGCACTGAATGATTTCAGAAGTTTTTCTAACATATACATTTATAGAATTAGTCACAAAGGAACGGAAAAGTGGATAGACCTCCCAATGGAGCTGCAGAAGAATCAAGCAGAAAAACAGGAAGTTTTGACACAGAAAAAGCAAAAATGCTACAAAAGCATATTTAGAAGAATGGCTTTATTACTCAGCAGGAAATGTGAAGAAACAATCAAATTCAACCCACAACAGTTTCTAGAAGTACGATACAACCCACCCATTCATTTAATACAAAGTAAATAAAAACAAACTTTACAAGCCAGGCCAAAGTGCTCCTAATTTGAATCAAGGGCACCCTGAACAGGGGTAATTATTGATAGGTAATTATTAATTATTAACAGATAATTATTATCAATAAGAGAAGTGAATGATGACTATATGCTGTGGACTTTTTCACTTTTGTAGAATATGAAGAACATACATGAAAAGGAAAAAAGGATGAACAATGAATTCTCCTAGGAGTACTATTCTCTACTAAGAAAATGGTAGCAGATAATAAATGGTTGAGCAAAACAAAACATAAAAACTTAGTATATTGGGAAAATCTTATCAAATCTCATTAGAGAAATTACAGAAAGAACTGATTTTAAAGATGCCAATTCTTACTTTGGTACATGTAGAATAGAAAAAAAAATAGCAGTCTTCTCCTTGATTAGGCATGCTGGGTAGATCCTTAGATTGGAAGTGGCTTCTTGAAAACAAGCCACTGCTTCCTCAAGGCGAGGACCAGCTCCAAGTCCTCTTGAAATGGGTTTAATCTTCCAAAAGACAACTCAATCAGAGAAATCGTCTTTAAAATGCAATCCTAAAATGAGGAGACATGAATTAAAGTATTTCAGATAAATTCTTTCAACTTCCTCTTCCAAATCACCTCAGAGAGCACATTGTTAAAACCAAATTTTAATTATATTATGTACTTGCCTATTCAGAGCTTTGTGAACCCTGATTAATATTTTATTCTTATGTGAACATTATACATTCTCATTTATAATGTAAAACTTTTGTTAAGGGCAGCCATGCCCTTCTTTCATATTCTCTATGGAGCTTGTTACATGGCTTCAACATAAGATTAAATAAGCACTAACTCCATAAATGATCTACATTTTAGGTCATGAATGGGACTTACGTTATTTTACACAGGGTATTTGCTAAATCTACATTGCCAACAAACTAGATTTTTTTCATCTGACAAAAGTTCCAATATTTTCACAAGCATTTTTATTTCAAAAGTATGTAATTATAAGTAGGTGGGAAAAACTGTCTCACTAGAATAATTGAAACAATTACCCCTGGATACATCTGTAGAACTAGCTTATGTAATAGCTTATGTAATGAAGACGGCCAAGGAGCAGAAGTCGTCCTTGGGATTCTTCCCATAAAACAGTGCTTACAAAAAACCACCAACAGCCCCCACCGTCAGCCCTTGCCACACTCAGGCCCCCACACTGAAGTGTCCTAGAAAGCTTCTACAGAAGTAACAACACATGACAAGAGCACATGCCAGAATTTGGAAAGGGTTTCTGCAAACTCGTACATCAGAAGACCAAGTTTCAGAAACACTGATTGACAACTTGAAATCAATTAAATTAAATTCAATCAGATCTCCCACTAATAACCCCAATCCAAGCAAAGCAGGCCACAATAAGAACCAGCCTTGAAGTCAGCAACCTAGGTTAGGAATTAAGAGTCTGCCACTGAACATATACTAAAACCTTTAAAATTTGCAATACCCTCTGACTCACAATTTCATTTCTAGAATTTATCCTGAGGTAAATATTCAACCAATATGCAAGGTAATAATACACAAGAAAGTTCACTACCACTTTGCTTCTAATAATGAAAACACATCCAGACACCTAAATGTTCAGAAACTGGGGTCTGTTTTAAAAAATTACGGTACATCCAAGCAATGTGATAATATGCAGGATATTATAGATTCTGGTACCAGGAAATGGGTATGGCTGAAAAAATATCTAAAAATGTGGAAGAAGCTTTGCAATCAGGTCACCAGTAGAGGCTAGAAGAGTTTTGAGGCACTTGACAGAAAAAGCCTGGAAGAAACTGCTACTAGAAAATCCGAACATTAGAGGAGTTTCTGGTGAGGTTTCTGTGGAAGCATTATTAAGAGAATGAAACGACAAGTCCCAGACTGGGAGAAAATCTTTGCAAAATACATAACTCATAAAGGACTGGTATCCAAAATATACAAAGAACACTTAAAACTCAACAAGAAAACAAATTAATTAAGGAATGGGCAAAAGATCTAAACAGACACTTCATCAAATAAGACACACAGATGGTAAATAAACATATGAAAAGATACTCAACATCGTATATCATTAGGGAATTGCAAATTCCTTTTAGAATGGCCAAAATCCATAACACTGACACCATTAAATGCTGGTGAAGATGAAGCAACAGGGTTTGGAAGAACAAGACCAAAATGTTAGCAACAGTTACTACTAGAGTGGTTGGTAGGATTATAAGTGGCTATTTATTGTTTTATGCTGATAATAACATTCAATTTTCTAATACAAGGCAACAATATATAATAAAAAATTTAAGTCTGCCTTAATGGCTTGTCCATCACTGATCCACTACAGAATGGGACAAGGGCTAGTCCTTTAATAGCACCTCACTGACCCACTAGGAGGATTCCCCTGACCCCAAACACAAGGAATGCATTCTGTAATGGAGGGTACACCAAAAGGTAATTAAAAAAACTGCCTCAAAAAACAGAAAACCTGCCTGAAACAGGATCAAGTTTCTAAGGAATATTCAAATAATTACAATGACACATATGCAAAAAGGAAAAGTATTAATCAGAGGAGAATGGAAAAGTTTTATAATAGAAAAATATTTTAGAAAGGAGGGGGGAAAAAAGCCTTAGGGATCAATTTCATTTTTGAAACAGTATCCCAAAGAACAAATATGAAACTGGTGCTTGTTTCAGGAACCCCCAACTTACTAATCAAACAACAAAATGGTACTTATGAAATAGTAACAAAACAGCATGAATTGCATGTTAGGGTTTTTTGTTGTTGTTTTGCATTTTAAAAAAATTAGGCTCTGCAAAACTCCCTCAGAGGTAGGCAGAGCATGAAGACTGAATGCTGAGCAGATGGACACAGCCTTGCTAATGTTTCAACAGAACAGTAACTTCATGTATCTGTTTTAAACATTTAACTTCTTTATCCTTCTATGGGGTGGTGGGGGGGGGAAGAATGTAACTGTTATTCAAGAAAATGGCCAAAAAACCCTTCCCCAGAGATTTAGGGAAAAAAAAATTGACAGTAATCGCTACTACCCCAAGTTTGCAGACTCAAAACCAAGATGCATACTGATAAATTTTTTTTTTTTTTTTTTTAAGATTTTATTT